CCCGCCGCACTCCGAGTGCCCTCTGCCTGCAGACCAGCCCCGGCGAGGTCACGTCTGAGCCCTCCTGAATGTGCGGAGGCCGTTCCGCCCGGGGTTGGGGGCGAGGGGACCCCTCCGTTGGGGCCGACGGCCGGGGGCCCGTCCCGACCACTTTCCCACGTCCCTCCCAGGGATGCGAGTGCCGTGGTCAGGACCCAAGGGCAGCGGTGGCCACCACGGGCGAGGTCCCCGCCCCAGCATCGGGCCTGCGCCTCCTCAGGGTCGTCTCAGCCTCCCGTGCCTCTTCCGCCCGGAAGGACGGGCTGGGGTCAGGCAGGCCTGGTCACGCAGTGGCTCAACAAGACCACGCCGGGGCCAGCCCCCGACGCACGCTGAGGGTCCAGAGAGGACAAGGCTCAGCGGCTCGAAACCGGAGGGAGACAGCCACCCGCCCCGGGGTCGGTGTGCTGAGGCCCAGCCCACGGAGCTGGGGGAGACCTCCTGGAAGGAGGCACCAGGGGGACCCTCCAGGGGAAACTGAGGCTGGCCGCGTGCAGCAAGAGGGGAAGAGTCCTGGTTGACCTGGGGAAGGGGGCGCAGGCAGAGCTGGGGAGGGGGCAGCAGACAAGACCTCCTGAGACCACATGCCCCATGCCACCCTTGGGAGCAAGACCCTGGCCGCAGAAAGGGAGGAACAAAATCACTAATTGTGCATCCAGAGCTCAGAGAGGCTCAGGACCTGCCTTAGGTGACACAGCAAGTGTGGCCCAGCCAGGAACGGGAAACAGCCTGGGAGACGTTCAGGGCCCACAGGGGGCTGAGCCCCAGGAGCCTGAGGACCAAGCCAGGGTCCTCTTTGTCTCCCCCGCTCTCATCCGCCTTCTGACCTCAGGGCTCCCGGCCCCCACACCCAGGCAGAAACAAAAGCCACTTCCTGTCTGGGGAAGGGACGGGAGCCCTCCTCTCTGAGCAGCTCAGGCCGGGCTGTGATGTGCCGCCTTCCCACTCCTTACAAAATGGGAAACTAAGGCACGGGCTGGGCAGGAATGCCCTGGGTCCCGGACCAAGGCACTTCCTCTGACGGGTCAAGAGCACCCCAGAAGGGACCCGAGGAGACAGGCAGCTGGTGGTGTGTCATTAGGGCGCGGGCACTCCAGGCGGCCCGGCCTCTCACCTGGGCGCTGACCTGCCAGACTGCCGCTCTGGAATGCGGCCCCGGGCGCCCCGCCCACCCCGCAGAGCTGAAGCGGTGCTGACGTGGCGGTGGCGGCCAGGCAGGGCCACCCAAGGGGACAAGGCCACGGGAGGGGACGGGGCGGGGTGGTGTCGGCCATCTGTATCCACCAAGGTAGCCACAGAGCTCGGGGCTTGATGCGGCTCCACCCACCCGGGTGACCCCGTGCAGGGCCCTGGGCCTCTGCCTCCCGCGCGTCAGCTCGGGACACTGGGCCGGAGCCCCAGGCTGGCAGCCCCCTGCCGCAGCCGGTCAGGTACGCGGGACACCCCAGGCCTGCGCTCCCGCCGGCCGCTCCCCGCGCAGGGCTCTCCTGGGTTTTGTTAGCAGCAGTTGCCGTGGATACTGGTCTCCGCGACGCAGGAAAGTCTCCCCCAGGGCAGGGCTCTGCCTCTCCTCACCAGCCCCTGCCCCGCCCAGTGCCAGCAGCCGGATCAAAGGGAAAGAGCTCAGAAGGCACAGGTGCCCCAGAGAAGTTGGGGAAGGGTCTCGGCTGCCCACAGCCCTCCTCCAACCACGAACAGGCCCCCCTGCTGGGCCAGGCTCGGGCCGTGGTTCCGCTCCCGTTTTACAGATGGAAGAGTGGGGGCCCAGGGAGTTCCAGCACCAGGAAGCAGAGCTGGGGAGAGGGTGCCCAAGACCCCCACCTTTCTCCTGAGCTGGTAGCCATGACCAGGCTCAGGGCCACGGGAGCAGGGGAAGCCCCCCCGGCCTCTGAGAAGTTGGGCTCGAGCCCTGGCCAGAAACAGGGGGCAGGCACTCCCGGCTCCACAAAGACAGCAGTGTCCTGGGGGGGGGGGGGGTCTCTCTGCTGTGTGAGCCTGGGCGAGCACCTGTGTTCTCTGCTCTCCAGCGGCCCATCCGCACAGGGAGATGGAGGGCAGCGTGTAGGGGTGGCTTCTGGGCTCCTTCCCTTTCATCCCCCGGAGAAGCCCGGCCTTCCTCACCCGCTGCCTGTGCCCTCAGGGGGTTCTCACGGGCAGGAGGGGAGGCCGTAATTGGCTGGGAATGCTAGGGCCCAGGCCGAGGCTACTATGGCTCCCAGGATGGAGACCAGCCTGGTGGAGGAGGCAGGGGTCCTCAAAGGGACCCGAAAGGGACTGGCCAAAACAAAGAAGCTGGGGAAGGACACAGGGGCCGGGGCACAGCTTGCACCGTGGCGAGAAGGGGAAGGCGGCTGGCATCCGTGCGGCCCCCTAAGGGCTCATGACAACGCTCTCATTTGCTCTGCCAGCCAGGGAGGTGCGGAGGAGGCCCGGGCGACACCCCCAGGCCGCACAGCTGGGTGCCGGAAAGCCCGACCTCAGGTCTGCGCCATCCCAGCTGCCGAAGTTAGTGTGAAAGAAAAAGCACAATATCCCATTAATAGCTTTTATATTGATCACCTGCGGAAGTAGGTTAGTTACGTGAGGTCGAATAAGATATGTTCATTCGTTTCACTTGTTTCTTTTTACTTTTTCACTGTGGTGCCTAGAAGTCTTTCACTTGTGTCCGTGGCATCATAGTCCTCGGACAGAGCTGTTCTGCACCATAAAGACAGGCGCACGCGGGATTTAAAGAGAACGGGAAACCCTTCCGCTCGCCGCGGAGGGAGCCAGGGACCGTGCTGAGGTTCTCGGGAGTCAGGCGGGGCGGCACCAAAGGTGGCCTCCCAGCGGGCCAGCCAGCAACAGGTGGACTCGGGCGTGGGAAGACCGCTCCTGCCCTCCCCCTCCGCCACGTCAGGCCACGGTAGTTGCACAGAGACAGTAAATCTCCCTAAAAACTGAACCTGGGGGCAGGGGCTGTGGGGGCGCCTGCCATGAGAGAGGGAGAGGGAGCCAGCCTCATCCGGAGAGGAAATCTGTGTACGGTGTGTGTTGGGGGTGGGGCGTGCTGGGACGGGGAGGGATGCACAGCCCAGGCGGGTGTTTGCACAGGGCTTTCCGGACGTTCCTCCCTCGCCCCACACCCCTCGGAGCCACCGCTATCCACCCCCCCCCCCCTTATGAATTCACTCGAAATTTCCTATCTTCTTGTCCCACTCTGACTCTGGGACCCAAGTAGGGTTGGGGGCAGATAAGCTCCAGACCTCCCTGATCCCAGCCTCTCCCCTCCGCCCCCGGCAGGGTCGGGCTCCCTGAGAATACCAGGGAGGGGTGGTCTGGGGGTGGGAGAAAACAAGCTGTGAAGTAGCAACGCCAGAGACAGCACCGTTCACTGTCCAGCTGGGATGCGGGAAACCTCCCAGACCACGGCTTGCTGGTAGACCCGCCGCCAGCCTTGTCTGCGCTCTCCAGGCCGTCGTGGACACGGGGTGCCCAGGGGCCTCGGTCTTCTCCTGTGCAGAGTCCATTCTGCACCGACTACGGGCCCCCCGTGTTCTCGGACCTCTCCCCACTTTCCAGTGGCACCTAAGCCCCCGGGTCCCAGGCGGCGGAGCACAGGGCCCGGTGCACTTGGCTGTTCCTGTTCAGGAGGCCACAGTGAGAGCCTCCTGGGGATGGCTCAACTCGAAACGGTGCCCACTCCCCCGGCAGAGAGAATGGAGAGCAAGGGGGTTTGGAAGTGGGGGGGAGGGGAGGGGAACCCATCAGAGTTCCTTCCTTCTACTTGGCACAAAACCCTATTCAACAGAGGAAGACTGAGGCCAGCAGAAGGGAAGGGGACCCAGGGGGTCCAGGGTTTACACCAGGGCCCACCTCTCTCCACAGCCACAAAGTTCTCTTTAGAGTCTGTCCAAAATTCCTTCCGCTACCTTTTTTTTTTTTTCCTCTTCAGTTGTTCCAGATTTTACTGATCCGCGGTTAGGCAGCCACTGCTCTCCTCCCGCAGGGAGCCCCCTGTGCCAGCCTGCCCAGAGCTGTTCTCTCAAGGTTACACGGTTCTCACCTACAGGCAGCTCAGTCCACGGAGGCCCTACTCACAGACCCCCAGGAAGGGAGGGAAGCGGGGGAGCGGGTGGAGCCCATCCCTCCCCCAGGAGCCCAGAGATTATCCACCGCACAAACGAGGAACAGACCAAGACACCAGCTGAGACTGGCCCAAGGTCACACGCCAAACACACAAGGGGCAAATCTGGGTCTAGAGCCCGGCCGTTCCACAGACGCCCCCCCCCTCCCCAAGGCTGGTTCCCAGGGGTGCGCGCACGGGGTGAGGCAGCCCCACCCCGGCCCCCCGCCCCACAGCAGGGGGAGGCGTCTCAGGCCTCCAGCCAGGGCCAGCTGCAAACCGCATCTCGGGTCCCCGGGCGCCGCGGACCCGCCCCGCCCCTCCCTGCGCTCCCCGCAGCCGCGAGCCTTTGTCAGCCACGCGCTCACACACGGGCCGCGCGCACAGCCGCCTCCGGGCGCGCACTCGCCGCACGCACGCCGGGGAGCGGAGGCGCCGGAGGAAGGAAGGAACTGACCCGCTCCCGCCCGACAGACCGCCCGGCTGGGGGAAGGGGAAGAGGGGCCGCGGCGGCTCCGGGGCGGGAGGGGGCGCGGGGCGAGAACGGAGAGACGCAGAGGAGACTCGGAGAGGAGACAACGGATGGGACGTCAAGGGCTGGCGAGGACGCGCGGGCGACTCCGGGGATGGGGACCCCTCCATCCCGGGCCGGGGTGGGGGGGCAAGGGGGACGGGCCCCGGATTGGACCCGTGACCCACGGGGCCTCGCTCGCCCAGTCGTGCCTGAGCGGAGGGCCCTTAGAAACCCCACGTAAGCCCTGAAAACAGGGGCCCTGGGACCAGAGGCTTCGCGGGGTGACTCCAGGCCGGGGGGGGGGTGTCCCTGGTTCTCGGGCAGGGAGGGGCGCTCGCTCACCTGCTACGGTGTACCTGTCCAGGTAGTTGAGCACGTTGCCCAAGCTGAGGATGGCGGCAGCGGCCCCCCGCCCGCGGCCCAAGCTGGCCGGCTTCGGCTGCTGAGCGCCCGGGCCCTTGGCGGCGGCGGCGCAGCCGGGGGTGCCGGGGGGACTGGGGGCTCCGGACGGGGCCCGCCGCACGCTGCCCGACAGCGTCTGCACCTCGTCGTCCGCGGCCGCGACTCCGGCGGCGCCCGCGCCCCGCGCCCCGCAGCAGCCGCCGCCTCCGGCCCCTCGCTGCGCCCCCCGGCGCCGGCGCCGCCGCTCCGCGTCCGCCTCCTCATCCTCCGCGCCGCCCGCCGCCGCCGAGGCGCACTCCAGGCACATCATGCCGGCCGGGGCCGGGGCGGCGGGGGGCGCGGGGGGCGCGGGGCCCGGCCGGGGCCCACTCAGAGCGCGCGCGCGCCGCGGAGCGGCCGCTGCACCATCCCGGCCGGCGCCGTCGGCTCCTGCGCTCCGGCCCGCGTCCCGCGCTGCGCCGCCGCCGCCGCGGCTCTGACAGCTGCGCCCGGCCCCGCCCACCCGGCGGCGCCCAATCGGCGCGCGGCTCGGCCGCGGCCCCGCCCCGCACGTGCTGCCCGGGACGGCCGGCGGGGGCGCCGCGGGGGCGGGCGCGGGGGCGCCGCGGGGGCGGGCGCGGGGGCGGGCGCGGGGGCGGGCGCGGGGGCGCCCCGGGGCCCCTGGGGGAGAGCGCCCGGCCCGCGGCGTCTCCGCGCCCCGATGTGCTCAGTCCGGGGAGAGCGAGGAGCGTGCCCGGCGGGGGCTCGGCCAGGCCCCCGGCCTCCGCGGGGCGCAGAGGGCTGTGCTGCCCACCGCCGCAGGGAAACCCAGGTCAACCCCCGCGACCGCTCCTGGTGCCGGTGCCCGTGCGCGTGCGGAGACCCTGCCCCGCCCCCGCAGAGAGGCGGCCCCCGGCAGGGCCAGCCGGGCTCCCATGGGCCCCCCAGACGCAGGGCATGCCTAAGGGGCCTCCCCAGGCATCAGACTGGCAGCTGCGCGCTAGGAAAGGGGCAAAGCCCACAATGGAGGACGCGAGGCCCCTCACTCTCTCTAGGCCCCAGTGCGTCTCCCGGGGCGGGCGTCGCTGGGAGGACAGAGTTCAGCATGTAAGTCTCTGAGCGGCCACCACCACCCCTCCTGGGGAAGGGCGAGTCCCCTCTCCGAGGGAGCATGGTGAGGGCCGTCTGTGTTCAGGGCCAGGTCACCGCCCTCGGCCATCTCAGAGGTGCTGTGGTTCTGAGCCCCAGCCCCAGACCTACCCCCTTCATCCGTTTGAGGCTTTGACTGCATCTGAAAATCCTATAGAAAGTGCTGGGGACAGAAGGCCAGCACCAGGCAGAGCCTGGGAGACCAGAGTCACCCCCGTGTTGCACAGATGGGGCCCAGAAGGGACTTCATCGCACACTTGCAGGCTTGGTGCTGGCCTGGGGCTCTGATACGCGCCCCCTGGGTTGGGAGCTCAGGTCCCCAAGCACACTGGCAGGTGAGTCCCATGAAAGCACTGGCCACAGCGAGTCATGGCGTAGCCAAAGGGTGATGCGGCGCGAGGCACCCCCTCCCTGCTGAGAGCAGAGTTAATCCCCAAGCTGGTGTTTCTTGGCGCCTTCGAGGTGTATTTTAAATTCTGCAAGGTGACTAAAAATAAGCTTTGGTGTGTTGGGTATGGGTGACTGTCACGGGAGGGCCCGGAAACAGACTCCATTCTGAAAAGTTCTTGCTGCCTCTTCCCAGCTTGAAGCCAGATAAGGAAAGTCCCGCTGGGTGTCCTGGTGCTCACCAGGCCAGCACAGACCCAGGAGCTCTGTGGAGCTGGGGCCGGGCCCTGGCAGTGCCCCTCGTCACTGTGGGGTGGTGCCAGCTAGGGGACAGTGCCCAGCGCTGGGTCTGTGTCCAGCTGTGAAGGAGACACAGCCGTGGCTCAGGGCCCGACCCCAAGGTCCCCTTCCCACTCGACAAAACTCCTCTTCCTTTCAGCCACAGCCCTGCCCAGGGAGAGTTTTAGCTCCTGACCAGAAAGGGGAGCACCCCCCTTCCCGCCCCCAGAAGGCCCAGAGCAGGGGAAGATGTCGAGTTTTGAGCCTTTCGAGTGTGGGAGGCCTCTGAGCCGCTATTCTCACGTGCGGGTTTACTGGGATTTTAACTCAAAGGCAGTCTCTAGAACAATCTCTGGGGAGACAGGGGGCACCGAGGGCCCACAGGAGGGACCGCAGCACTTTCTGGCCATATCGCCCTGGGCAGGTCAGAGTGGTGCCCTGAGAGCCTCTGGCAGGACCTCGGGGCCGTCGGCCACAAGACTTACAGGGCCCTTCGTCTCACCAGTGAAGAAACCGAGGCTCAGGGAAGAGAGGTAATGTGCCCAAGGCCACACACCCCGGAACACAGGGACTTGCACGACGGCCCACAGCGCTGCTCTAGGCTCCTCCAGGGCATGCTTCCTCGGCAGCACACAGTGCAGGCCGAACTCCTTCGTCCGTGGGGCCTCAACCACGAGTCAAAACAATGGGCACAGGACGCTGTGGCCGTAGCCCAAAGGCAAGTGTATTTGGTTTCCTGACTGAGGGACTGGACTTTTCAGAGCCTTTAACCTCAGAGTGTACACTATGGGTCTCCCAGGCAGAGGCTGTGGTGTCCCTACGTGTACCTGTAAGGAGTCCAGAGCTTTGCAGAGCACGTTCTGAGAAATACCAGCTTCCCCAAGGCTGATAACCAGGAGCTCAGTCCCCTCTGCCCATCCCCCCGGCCTCAGGCCTCAGTTTCTTCCCTTCGCAGGCTCTCAGTAGCCATCCACGTGCCCCTGGCATCCCAATCTCCATCTGTAGATGTGGCCTCATCTCCAAGCTCAAGGTAGTATGCACACATCTCCCCACCCCCCAGATATCCAGCTCCTTAAACTCTGCACAATCAAAACTGAACCCCTCTTTCTCTTAAGCCTACTCCATCCTGGTGTCATTTATCTCTTGGCAAATACCGTCATCCTCGCCGTCACCGAGCAGGACACTGGGGGCCATCTGGGGCCCTTCTTCTCCCTCAACTCCTACATCTAGCACCTGTCCACTTTTTTTTTTTTTTAATTTTTTTAAATGTTTTATTTCTAGGAGAGAGAGAGACAGCGTGAGCAGGGGAGGGTCAGAGAGAGAGGGAGTCACAGACTGAAACAGGCTCCAGGCTCTGAGCTGGCAGTCAGCACAGAGCCCGACGCGGGGCTCGAACCCACGAACCGCGAGATCATGACCTGAGCGAAAGTCGGACGCTTAACCGACTTGAGCCACCCAGGCGCCCCATCGCCTGTCCACTTTCTTCTCTTTAAACCCCCCAGGGTCCCACTGCCCACGGACTCTCCTGCCCCACCTTTTTAAAACTCGCCACACCTGCCCCAACATCCCCCCCAGCCTTTTCTCCATATTTCTTGCCAGTGACTTTCTAAGTCGCCCACACGAGCCCATCCCTACCTTGCACATAACCTGTCCATGGCTCCCCACTGGCTACAGGATAAAAATATCTAGGCTCCAAGACCCATGATAACCCTTCATGACCCATGCCAGTCTCCAGCCTCAGATCCCACCGGCCGGCTCTCAAAATTACAGAAAACACACTGAAAACAGAGCTCGCTGAACCCACTCAGGGCTGTTATTTTTCCTGGAGCCTGGAGGGGTGGCGGGGATGGGGGAGCCTGTGTGGTTCCGCCGGCCCCTCAACGCAGTGCTGTTCAGGACCACGGAGAGCGTCACGTGGGCGCCCCCTCCCCCTGGTCCTGTGCGGCCTGGGGGTGACCCAGCTCACCCTCCGACTTTCCCCCAGAAACTCAGCACACACCATGACTTCCTCCAGAAAGCCCTCCTCAGCCCACCTGAACGAAGGTCGTTTCCGCGTAACCTGTGTTACGCCTTGGGTAACCTGTGTACGCCTCCCTCTCACCAAACCCATTGTGCTGATTGTGTTTGTACATGAGTCCCCCGCCTCCGACTCTGCCCCACAACCGACCGTGAGCCTCCGGGGCCCAGAGCCTGACTCATGTCCGCAGCCCATGCAGAGGCGCTCAGAGAATGTTTGTTGATTGAATGAGTAAATGACATTTAGCAGGTGCTCAGGAAGGGTATGTTGATTTGCATCATGTATCTGTTGCTCTGAGTGACTCAGAAACCAGCCACATTCCTCTCCTGGCTCCTCTGGAAAAGGCATTTTCTCCCCAAACTGGCTCCACCCTCCCTTAACTGTCATTTGCCTCCACCCTTTGATTACCTTTCCCACATGTCAGCACCCGTGGGGGAGACACGGGTCTCCAGCCGTCACCGGCGGGGGACTGCCAGACGCCCTCCACCCCCAGCCTGGGCTTGCCTCGCCAGCTTTGCTCAGAATGCTCTGTCCCTGCCTCTCTCTCCTGCTCAGAACAGATGGCTCTGCGTCCCCACGAACACAGAAGTTCCTGTTCTGTCATTTGAACATTTTTAACGCTTTCTAAATTATAGAAGATTCAGTCTCCTCTGATCGTGGACTCCAGACTATCAGAAACAAAGACTCCCTTGAAGGGTGCGGAGCCCAGTTTCTTCCCGGTCCGGCCAAGACGCCGCACCCGAGAGCAAGCAGGCCTGCCCAAGACCACCGGAACGGGCGCCATCTTTGCTTGGCGTGTCTTCCACTGCTGTTCAGAGTCCGTCCCCCTTCCCGGCAGCACCGGGTTTCTTGGTCTTCATGGAGCTAAAACTCAAGGCATGGCCATGGGGTCCGCCCGGACTCTCTCGCCCGGGGCCTTAAATCCTGAGTAGGGCGGCAAGGCCATGGAGAAAATTGGTGCTTTGGCAACGGTCCCCAGTAGGACGGCTCAGGAGCCCTGGCTTCTGAATCTGCAATGTTCTCATCAATTCTGGGAGTTCCTAACGTGCTTCCAACAAATACCCCTTCTTGCCTAAGTCACTCAGTGTCTTCTGCACACAGCCGAACAACCCTAACTGGTGCGGTCACGCGGCTTCCCGTGTGCGGTAAGGCCCGGCACCAGCGGCCTCCCGACCGCTGTGTCTACGGGCCGCGTTAAACCAGAAACCTCACAGTCCCACTCAGACACGGAGGAAAGACAGACACTCCGGGGAATGAAACCGACAGAACAGGGTCTGGTGATGCAGGGGAGCCAGCGGGGTCGGGGCGATCCTCCCAAAGCACGCGCCCAGGTCAGGGCGGAAGAAGAGCTGACCCCACACCCACGCCCTCGCGTGCTCGCAGGCCGACAGCCGCACCTGTGTGCCAGGATCACACCTGGAGCCGGAAGACGGCGCGTTGCTGGGAGGAGCGGTAAACACGCCGAGCGAGCGCGAGGCCCGGGCTTGACGGCCTCGTCCTGCCGAGCAGACCGCCCCGCCCGCACCCCCAGCACCCGCGGCTCGCCCGACTCTCAGGGCCTGGGATTGCTCACAAGTGACCTTTAGGGCAGACAGGTGTGATCGATCGACCTCTGCAGCCCCAGCGGCTGGGCTCGCACAGACCCTCACCTGTGGCCCCGGGGCAGGTGCCTGGCCCATCTCCACTCCCAGGTCTCTCACTGACCCCCCCCAACACTTCGGATGATAACACCCAGCTCCGGGCTGGCCACTCTCCCCTCAGTCCTCGCAAGCACCACCCCCCCCCAGCCCAGCCACCCAAACAGCTCCTCCTGCCTCCTCCCCTCCCCCAAAGCACACACACCCCTCCAAGGTGCTCTCTCCAGGGGATCCCCCTCTTCCCGCCCCCTGCGCAGGGGCTCCTGGGGGACATGACCCTTCCTCTGCCCACAGGTGGCCTCGCTTGGCCTGGTGCGTGTATGTCCTGTCGAGGGCTGTGAGGTCCAAGTCAGAGTCACTCCCCACAGTCAAGATGGGCACCACCTACCAACACCGTTTCTGGAACTTGCAAGGAGGAGGTGTCTGACCTTTCCAGCCGCTGGACTCTGGGCTGGGGGCGCATGGCTGTTCTGACTCGTGGGAAGCCCCCGTCCGTGCTCGGGGAACAGAGGGTCTTGGGGGCGTCCAAGGGCTGCAGGGAGGAAGGTTCAGAGCCCAGAGCCTGGCTTCTGTGGGCCTGGACCCAGCCGGTGAGAATCACACAAGTGTGGGCTGGAAAAGCCACATTCGATGCCCCTCTGTTTTATTTTGTTTTAATGTTTATTTGAGAGAGAACGAGAGCATGAGCAGGGGAGGGGCAGAGACAGAGAGAGACAGAATCTGTAGCAGCTCCAGGCTCCAAGCTGTCAGCACAGAGCCCCACGCAGGGCTTGAACCCATGAACTATGAGATCGTGACCTGAGCCCAAGTCGGACGCTTAACTGACGAGCCCCCCAGGCGCCCCCTGGATGCCCTTCGTAAACACAGCCGGGCCCCAGGCAGGGCCAGGGCCTCCCGGCTCCCATCAGACCATCAGACCGGGAGCCTCCTTCTCGGGGGGAAAACAAGGGGAACCTGCGACCTACAATAGGAAATACATGTTTGGTCTTCATCCTGTTCCCGCCCAGAGCTCCTAAAACCATGGGAATTTCCTAAATGCCAGAGAGCCCAAAGGCGCCTTTTGTTTGCGAGTGAGGTGGCATTTGCACCCCACCTAAGGGGGGGCTGGTGGCCAGGAGCAGCCCCCACGTGACCAGAGGCTGGCACCCCTGTCCCGCCCCCTGACCTCTGGGGACCCATGAAGGCTTGGAGGTCCAGTCAGTCACCAGGGACCAACGATCCGATGAGCTGTGCTGGGCAGTGAGGCCTCCAGGGAAACCCGCAAGGACGGGGCTCAGAGAACTTTCACGAGAAGCTGGTGACGCAGGGAGCCCGGCATTTCCCCGGGTTCTGGAGGCCCCGGCGGCCCCGTGGGACCTGAGGAGGGGGCCTGGGAACGCCCGACCGTAGCCGGTCAGTCAGCAGTACAGCCGGCAGCCTGGGCTTGGCCCCTCGGGCGGGGCCGGGCAGGGGGGCGCAGTCCTGTAAGACCAAGCCCTCAGCCCACGGACTGTGACGCCTTCTCGGGGTGCATGGGGTCACAAACAAGTCGAGGGGCAGGAGATCGGCTCGGGAACCCCGGTGTACACTGTATCGCGGTGCAGGTCCATTGCCAAGTAGACTTTTTAAAAATGATTTCAGGGGCAGCCTGTTTTATGAGCTGCAAGTGTCAAATGGTGGGTGGGGGGCTGGCCAGCCTGGTGGCGGGCACTCCCGGCGAGGGGCTGAAGAGGGGACGGGCGTGGGCTGAGCCGGAGTCCAGCTCCTGGAGCTTGTCCCCCCCCGCAGGAGGCTGGGGGGCGGGCAGGGAGGGAGCGAGGGTCAGGAGGCGAGCGAGAGTCCGGCCCCCACAGCTGCTGGGAGGCAGGCCCAGCGGGCACAGGGGTGGGGGGCACAAAGAACAAGGCCCCTCACTGCTGCCCGTCTCGAGCTGGCGGCCTCCTGCGGGGCCCACTGGGCGCAGCTGCTCTGATCCCAGCGGCAAGCGCGGCCCGCAGAGCCAGCCCTCCTCGCGGGCGGGGCCGGGGTCAGAGCGTGAGCCGTGGGGGGTGGGGGGCCGGGCGCGAGCACCCCACTGTGGCTCCAGGGCAGCTGAGCCGTGGGGGTCGGGGGCTCCTCCTCTGGGAGCTTGAGACCATATCGCAAACCCCGGCCTTTTGTTCCAAAGGGTGACTCAGGCAAAGGGGTGTCCTGTGCCCTCCCCACCTGCAGAGTGGGGGGCCTGGGTCCGAGTGAGACGTCCGTGGTGGGGACTCCTGGGGACCCTCGCCAGCAGCCCTGCACCCCTGCACCCCTGCCCGGGGCTTCCTCTTGGCCCCCCTCCCAACAGGGACACCTTGAGGCTGTAAAGAACATGATCGCAGGGGCGCCCGGGTGGCTTAGTCGGTTAAGCGTCCAACTTTCGCTCAGGTCATGACCTCGCAGTTCGTGGGTTCGGGCCCCGCGTCGGGCTCTGTGCTGACTGCCAGCTCGGAGCCTGGAGCCTGTTTCAGAGTCTGTGACTCCCTCTCTCTCTGACCCTCCCCTGCTCACGCTGTCTCTCTCTCCTAGAAATAAATAAAATATTCAAAAAAAAAAAAAAAAGAACATGATCGCAAAAGGCCTGAAATCCACCTTTAATCGGGGCCACTGGCAACCGGGCTGAGGACCCGGGGCGTGCGGGGCGGAGGCGCGGGCACAGGCCTCCTGCCGAGGGCGCTGACAGCTCAATTCCCCGCCACAGGCGCTGCCAGCTCTCTGGCTGCAGGGAAGAAGTGGCAGGTGCAGCTCGGCCGGGGGCCCTGAGCCGCAGCCAGAGGGGACCGGGCCCTGATGCCGTGGCGGGAGGGGCGGGGGCCTCAGGGGGGCTCTGTGGCAGCACCAGAAAGCAGGGCTCGGCTCTCCATGTCCTTGCTGTCCGGGGTCCCTGTGGGAGGAAGGGCACTCAGCCAGCCCTCGAGGAGGCCGGGGGCGCCCCGGGGCCAGGCCTGGGCACGGCTTCCGCACGCAGAATGACTTCCAGGCGCCACCCTCCCGCACCCCCAGTGCCCCAGCAGGGTCCCAGCCCCACGGCTTCCCCGGTGCCGCAGGGCCCCCTGGGGCCTCTCCGCTTCAAGGCCGACCCTCCACAGTCTGTGGTCAACACGGCAGCCACGTGCTACTTCTGCACGGTAAGCCAGACACCTGGGGCCTGTCTGCGAAACCACACAGTGGCTCTGCCTCGCTCGGAGCTAAGGCCACGTCCCTACAGGCCCCCAGCTGCGGGGCCTCCTTTCTGCCGCCTTTGATCCCGCCTTCCTGCTCCAGACACACTGGCCGCCTGGCCAGGCCTCAGACACATCAGCTACGCGCCCACCTCAGGCCCTTTGCACTTGCTGCCCCACCCCCTCCAACCCTTTGCTTCAGTGTCAGCGTCACCTGTGCAGGGAGGACCCTTCAAAAATGGCAACTTGCCCCACGTGGGTCTCTCCGCCGACGTGGCGCCTCCCTGCGGCACTGATTGCCCTGAACTCTACCTTCTAGAGCCTCAGCGCCATGAGGGCTTGGACTCCGTGTGTCCTCCCCTGCATCTGGCACACAGCAGGGCGTGACGAACGAACAAATTAAAAACGAACCAATCAGCTTGGCCGACGCCGCTTGCCCGGTGAGCTCAGCCCTGAGCCCGGTGCGGGTGCTGGGTGTGCGGGGCAGCATACCCGTGCCGGGAGCCCGGGCCCGGGCCTGGTCCCTCTCCAGGCGCAGCGCCGTCAGCAGGAAGCAGCCCCCGCCCAGGGCGAGGACGAATGCGCAGCACAGGAAACTCTGCTGGAGGCTGAGGAAGGCCTGCAGGTACGAGTCCGGGCGCCCGGCCCTCAGGGTGCTGGACACCTGCGGAGAGAGGCCAGGCTGCAGGCCCTGAGGGCTCCCCCCACCCCACGCCCACCGCGGGGCCACCCCTCACCAGTCCAGTGAGGTAAGGGCTGCCGGCATCTCCCAGGATGTGGCCCACCGTGATCTGCAGACCCTCTGCTGTCCCCCGGCACCTGGGCACCACCACCGACTGCAAAACACAGGACGCCGGGCAGCCCCCGAGCGCAGAGCCTGGTGCCCCCGTGCCCAGCGGCCCAGGACCCACCCGGAGGGCCAAGCGGCTGGCGGAGCGAGTGGGACGTCAGGCCCTCCGGGGGATGGGGGCGCCGAGGCCCCTGAGGGGGGTTTGCTCTGGGACAGGGCAGGGACCGGGCCTGGCTCTGACGCGGGGTGACGCGGGGTGACGGGGCTGAGGCCCAGCTCAGGACCCAGGAGGCGGGCCGGCCTGGCCAGGAGAGGATGCGAAGCCAGGTGTCTGTGCGCAGGCGCCCAGCGCAGCCCCTCCCAGGAAGTCGGCTTGCTGGAGAGCCCCCCGTGGAGGAGGGTGGGGGGCTCGGGGTGCGGACTCTGAAGTCAGAGTGGGTTCCAATCCCACTCGCTGGCTGTGTGCCTTCCTGGCCTCATCTCCTCACCCCACACGGCGATGATGATCGCGGCCGCTGGAGGGGTGTATTCGTCAGACCGAAATAATGCGCTTTGGCCCCCAGACAGGGCTCGCAGACACTTGAACGTGTACGCCTTCCGTCCCGCAGGCCTTCCCGCCCGGGTCCCCGAAGGACCGACCCTCCCCGAGTTCAGGGCCACAGCCCTGCCTGCGCCCTAAGGAACGCACACGCCCCACGCTGGAAGGCCCTTCCTTCGTCTCCCACCACCCACCCCTACACTGTCTGGGCAGCGGGCAGAGCCCCTCTTCTCTGGAGCTTCCTGGACCACAGCAGGGCGCCAGGCCCAGAGTGGACTAGCCAAGCAAATGAGTCCAGTAGAACCATCTGGAAGACTGGTCCCAGGAGAAACCCAGCCGGAGGCCGGGGTTGCAGCAGGGGAGGGGAGGGGGCGGGGGAGCCTGAGGAGGGGTTCAAGCAGAGGCCACACGGCCCCAAAGGGGAGCTCGCCACCCCAGAGCCCCATCCCCAAGACCTAGCAGAGGATAACAACCAGCATTTAGTAAGTGTCTCCTGTATGCATTTTACGCATCTCATGTAGACATTTTATAGATCCGCTCAACCACCCCGTGAGCGAGGTTCGACCGTTACCCACGGGTCCCAGATGAGGAGACTGCAGGAAGGGAGGTAACCTGTCCAGGGTCGCCCGCCAGGAAACAGCCGCACAGGCCTCTGACCCTCCGGGATCCGACCTTTGAGCACTTCCGTGTCACGGGCAAGGAGGAGTCCGTCCGGGCGCGTCTGTGTGTCTGCTACGGCACACAGGGAAACGCAGGAGGGCGAGGAGGGTGAGCTCACGCGGCCCTGCGCGTGGATAACTGGCAGAGAGAGCGGGGAAGGGCGCTCCAGAGGGGGAACAGAGTGTGAGCAGAGGCGGCAGGCAGGAGCCCAGCGCCTGGAGCCCGCAGTCGCTCTTGAGGGTGACGGCCGGCTACCCCTGGTCACTGAAGCTGACGGTCTGTCCAGGCGGCGGAGAGGCTGGGCCTCTAGGCCTCACTGGGGCCCACAGGCCAGAGATGGAGCTGACCGTGGCTTCGCAGCTTCAGCCCGTGGGTGCCCTTCCTGTAATTATGTGATTCCACTGCTGGCCCTGGAGGACCCTCCCAGAGGGTGGGCCCCGCACGGCTAGAAAAGTCCACACCGGCTGCTTGGACCCTCCCAGGCCCCCAGGAGCTGCTGGGCCCGGCCCAGGAGAGGTGGGTCCCCTGCCTGCTCTGGGCCCGGTTGCCTCCGCACGGCCCCGCCAGCAGCTGGACAGCCCGGCAGGTAATTTTAGAAGTTACAGGCTTTGCGTTCCTAAAACTGCTCACTCTATTCTGAGACAAAGCACCTCTGTTTCTGACTCTCCCTTCTCAAAAGAGCTGTTCCCTTCACAGCCGGGGGCATAACCAGCAGCGACCAAGGGCCCAAAGAAAGTCGGAGCGGCAACCACCAGGTGCAAACTCCCGGGCAGCCTACCTCCTGCACCCGCCTCAGCCCCCACACACAGACTCGCTGGGAGGGTGAGACAGACGGGTGGGCAGAGCAGGGCGCACTGAGACGAGGGCCCAGAGCAGGGGGGTGAGAACCCTCGAGGGGGTGGGAGAGGCCTGCCGAGTGTGGGGGGGGTGCGCCTGGCGGCTGGGCTCGCGGACCGGGGAAGACAGACCGAGGAGGGGGCTGAGATCCACTTCTGCTCCCTTCCCTGCTGCCAGGGGTGAGTAGCCCCGAGGGGCCCAGACAGACAGCACGCTGGGGAGGGAGCTGGAGATGCCGTCAGTCAGGGGAGCTCAGCCGGGGGGGGGGGGCAGGAATACGAGATGCCAGCGGGGTCTCCAGGGCTCCTCGGGCCTCAGGAGGAAGTGCCCAATGCAGACGGGAGCTCCACTCACTTCCTGCCCAGGGCTCACCCGCTGGACCTGACTCCACCGTCCTGCCCTCCCTGCACCTGCGGCTGCTCCTGCCTCACCTCTGGTGACCTTCCCGCCTTCCACCCAACCTTCCTCCCTCTGGTCCACGCAGCTTCTGGTCAGAGCTGTCTACACTCCCGGCCTCCCTCACCACCCACACCCTCCCCCACTGCACACACCCCGTCCCCCACAGCCTGCCCCCCCCTGCATGTGGCCCAAGACCACTGCCTCCTGGAGCCCCTACTTCCTCTGTTGGGGACCGAGCTCCAAGCTCCGGAAGGATCGGCCCAGCTCTGGCCACCAGAGTGTTTGACATCAGTCCTTCACTAAGAGCCTGGCTCCACAGGTTAATCATTTCTGCAAACACAGACAACCGGGGTGACCCGGGCACAGCCCTCCCCCATCTGGGGCAGCCACGTGGAAAGGGGCAGCGCCCTGGGGGTGGCTTTCAGCCCCATCTGAGCGCCCAGAGGTCAGGGTGGGGGGTCGTCAGGCTCCTGGTGCCTGAAAGGGGGCCACGCCCTGAAGAAGACATTACGAGGTCCTGGCCGCCTCAAGGAGACTGAGGCTGAGGGCCGTTCACCCGCTCTGTGGCCGAGTCGGGGCCGGAGGGGGGGCAGGAGAGACCGCCAGTCCTGCAGCTGATCGGCCCCCCGGGAGTCAAAGGGCAGCGTGGTCTACACCCGCTGAACTTGGGCCATGGCGGGGGCAGCAGGCCTCGTGGGCTCAGTAAGAGATCGCACCTCCCCACGCCCTCTCCAAGTCGCGTGGGGGGCACGGGACTGGAGAAGGCCGAGGGGGCTGGGTGGCCCCCGCCAGCACCAGCCAGAGCCCCACATTGTTGCTTTATCCGTGCTCGCAGTGCCTGCGAGTATCTCACCCCGCTGTGCACATGGGGAAACGGAGGCTCCCAGACACAGAGCGACTTGCCCGCGACACAGCTGCTGAGTGGCGGAGGCAGGGCTGAAAGCCGCGTGCGTCTCCTGCGTCCAGGACCAGGCCCGGCGCCAGGTGACCGCAGGACGGCTGTCAGCCCGTCGCAGGCCCCCAGGCGCCCCCGTGCACGGTGCTGGTTGCGCCAGGCTTCCGGGAGGCAGGAGGGCTCGTGGGGGTCCCCGGGTCTGGGGCCCCCTGTTACCCACAAGGGCACAGCTCACCGGTGTTCAAAGTGCCCCCCTGGTGACTCCTGGAGGGAAGCGGGGAGCCTGGACAGCGTGAGGGCCACGCCCGACTCTGGACGTGGCGGAGTCACGTGGTCGGGCGGACTCCAGGCCTCGGAGTGCGCGAGCCGGCCCCTGGCCTCGCGGCCTGGACCCGCCTGGCTCAGTGGCTATAACGTCCCACGTCCCCGTCCACACACCCGGAGCCTGCTTGCTGACAAGTATAGTCAAGAAAGAGCGAGGGGAGGAGTGAAAAAAGCCTAGGCCCCTGTCCTGGCTCAGCGCCTTTGCATGCTGTGTGACTTTGGTCCGGGCACCTGCCTTCCCTGAGCCTCCACTTGCTCATCTGCAAAATGGAGCCAACAGCCAGAGGATGTGTTTGAGAGTGTCAGGAAGGTCCGGTCCACAGTAACTGTCAGATGGCCTCAGTCCCCTGCCCCATGGTCCCTGAAGTCCCCCACCCCCAGCCTCCAGGCCACCCTCAACAGAGACCCAGCCCCACAGACAGCCCCCAGCTCCCTCTGCTCCGGGCGCCCCAGGACCAGCCGCCACGCAGACCCCATACCTACCAGCAGGATGTCGGCAACCACTGCCCAGTTGCAGGACAGAAGCAGCTCCCCGAGAGCCAGGAGCACCTGTGGACAAGGACCCGGGTCAGCGCCCCTCCCTGCCTGGTCTCCTCCCACCTGCAGAGAGAGACCGAGGCCGCAGAGAAAGGCGCCACCAGGTTTGCTGGGGCGGGGCGGGGGGGGGGGGGGGGGGGGGGGAAGGGCGGGCCCTGAACTGCATCTTGGGTTCCAGCAGCCTCTGGGGTGGGCAGACATTCCCGTCCGCATGGGCTGGCGGCCATGACCCAGAGGAGAGCGCCAGGCCTCGGGCCTGGGAACAGCCTGCTCCCTGATGGACGGCCCCCAGGCCCGGCTGCCGAGGTCCCCGTGGGGCCCCGGGAGGAGGCAGCCAGGGCTTCTGGGCCATGTGAACGCTGGGAAAACAGACTGGAGAGGAGAGAGGCCCAGGGACCGGACAGTTTGCCCGCCCCTCCTGTGTCCCCCTAAGGCCAGCACACACTGATAAGGTGTGCACAGTGGGCCAGGCAGGTGGGCACCCCATCTACAGCCCCTCCCGGGCCACCTCCTTCCCAGACCCTTCCAGCAGCGCAGGGGAGGCGAGCAAGGCCAAGCTGGGGTCAGGGCCAAGGTGCGTCAGAGGTCACCAGCTGGCCCAGGGCAGAGCCGGCCTGGAGCCCGACTTCTGGTACCAGGGGGGCTGGTTTAACTTTGTGCACCCCCTCCCTCCCCGCCCACTGTCTGCCGGGGACCAGGAGCCACTGCGGGCCTGTCTCGCCCAGCTCCCCGAGCCCCCTCCTCGGCCAGAGGATTAGGACAATCTCATTCCCCTCCCTCATCAGGAAGAGTTTAATGAAGCGGCGAGAAGGGGAAAGAAAGCATTTCTCAGAGCTTCCAGGAGCTTATGCTGGACTTAGTCATTCCTGGAGTCACGGGGCTGCCGGGCAGCACGGGCTCTGCCCCCCAAAGGCCAGGGAACTCGGCCGAGGAAGTGAAGGAGCCCGTCACCTGCTGTACGTGGCCGCCAGCCCTGTGCTGTGCAGGGAGGGGTGAGGCTGGCAGAGGAAGTGGGGAGAAAGGCCAGGATGGGCAGGGCCTGGGGGGAGGCGGGGCTGAGAGCCGGGGGGGGGGGGCAGGGAGCTGGGCTGCACCCACCATGACCCCCTGACCCCCACCCCTGCCTGGGCAGCTCTGCTGGCAGAGGAGGCCTCCCCCTGGGCCCGGGGCTGGGCGTCCGCAGGGTGGGAATCAGGAAGTCCCCGCGGGCAGGGCTCAGGCGGGGCCCACGCAGGCCGCAGACCACATTCCAGCCGGACAGGGTCCCGCAGGCCCAGCTCCTGGGGCCACATGAAAGCCTGGGGCGGCTCTCGCGCCCTCCCCTCCTGCTTCCGCCTGGGCCTCCACCTGCGCGAGCCTCTCCCCTGCTCTCCCACAGCCGCACGACGCACGGACAGACACTCTCCTTCCTCCAGCTGCAGCCGGTGGATCCTGACCCCGAAACAGAGCCCGCAGCCGCCGGCCACCCAGGACGCCAGGCTCCCTGACACACACCTGCGCGCCCTCGAAGGGCGAAGGCGGGGCCGGCAGAGGCTGCGTCCTCACCCTGTAATTACCCGGCCTCCCGAGGCTCCGGAGGGCTGTCCAGCAGAGGCCCGCCCCGCCCCGCCCTGCCGGCGACCGGGGGAGGGACCAGCCTCTGGACCCGGGTCTCCCTGGCACCACACGGGGAGGGCCCAGGTGCTCCAGCAGGGGCCTCCGCGCTCACGGCCTGCGCTTCTGCGTCCTCAGCGGGCACGTGCGAACTGGGTCTCGGAGCTCAGGGGCTCCCGTGGCCAAGTCAGACCCGGCTCCACAGGCCAACACCCAGCCCGGAAGGGCCCTGGCTTGAGGCCAAGCAGGAGGGTGCAGAGCACCCTGCATGGGCGCCCCCGCCCCGCAGCCCAGGCACCGCCCAGACACCCTCCCGCGGCCGACGGCCACAGGTGCCTCTCAGCGGCCGGGCCCCGTCACCCGGCACAGACCGGCCCCCAGCAGCCGCCTCTCCTCTGGGAAAGCCTGCTGGCCCCTGTCACCCGGGCCGGACACGGGGGCGCGGGGCTCCTGCATGTCTGAGTCCTGGACGCCCCTCGGCCTGGCCCCGGCCTCCCGGCCTCTCCTCCCGGGCAGCTTCCCAGGCCCCCACCCCACCCCGACGCCAGCCCTGGAGGGGACTTCCAAAGGGGAAACTGGGCCCTGCCCCCGTCCCTGCGGCGCACCCGCCCGCCTCCCTGCACCCTGACTTAGTTCCCAGGCCAGAGGGCCTGGGAGCGCCGCCCGGAGCCTGAGAAACGGGGAGCCCCTTGGCCTCCGGCCTCTGCCGCCTCAGACTCAGGAGGACTTTCCCCTCGAGCTGGGGCAGCGGCGATGGATGTCCCCAGCCTCAGTCACCCCGGTCAGAGACACGCGCACTGTAACATGTGCGCATGCATTCACATACGCAGAGACTCACACGCATGCACACTTACGTGGACACTCATCACTTGGGCCCCCGCACTCACACTCACCACAAGTACGCACATATGCAGCCACGGGGTGCTTTCGGAGCATCACCACGTGCGGTAAAAGCACCTGCCAGACAGCGGCGTGCGTGCTGGGACAGGCTTGCCGGGGTGAACCGCACGCACACGTGTGTTCCTGCGGTCTCATAATGTGGACAGCAAGTGTGCACACACGCATGTGCACACACATGTGCACGTGCACACAGACACGCCAACACCCTCCTGCTCATGCACACGCATGCGTAGGACATGTGCATGCACACACATGTCACCTGTACACAGACACATCGACGCCCTTCTGCTCATGCACGTGCACATGTGTGTCACGTGTACACAGACACATCGACGCCCTTCTGCTCATGCACACACATGCACAGGACATGTGAGCACACATGCACATGCACACACATGTCACGTGTACACAGACACGCTGACGCCCTCCAGCTCGTGCACACACATGCCCGTGGATGTGTGCAGGCTCACAGGTGGGCCTGGGGAGGGGGAAGGAGTGAGGATGGGACACCCGCCCTGTGGCAGGAAGGGGCAGGCACTGGTCTCTGAACTGCAAAGACTGGTTTCTAGGCCTCGCCAGGAAGGGGGAAGGAAGGCAAACACCCCCTGTGGGCTCAGCAGGACTGTGCAGAGCCCGGCCGCGATCCTCCCCTTTCTCAGATCAACTCCATCCGTGCCCAGTGAGGCTGAGCCAGTCAGGACAGGCCCCGGGCACAGACCGGCTGCCAGCAAGCTGCCACGCCGCTGGCACGCTTTGCCCCCGGGCCTGCCAACCGGTAATTGCAGGGCCTGGCTTCGGGGCACAAGGGCACCACTCAGCTCCCCAGGGCTCGCCGCAGCCCAGCAGGCAGGTGGGGCGCGAGGTGGTGAGGAAGCAGAGCTCCGGCATCCTCCGGGACAATTCGGCGGAGCGTGGCTGCCCTGGGTGGGCTTGGCTTCCCGCCCAGCAGGAGACAGCTGCTGGGTCCTGGGCTGCGAGGCGTGGCCCCGAGGGGAAGGGCGGGTGGACCTCTCCCCGGCAAGGCCGTCACTCCCGCTCAAGATGCAAGAGAAAAAGGAGCCCCCGAGGACCAAGTTGTAGGGGAGCCCCCAGAACTGGGGCATCTGCATAGCCCATCTGGCCACCGCAGGGGCCGAGAGCGGGCGTCCCGGCCACCCCAGAGTCCTTGGCTGGCTCTGACACATCCAGCTCACCCTGCCAGCCTCCCTGTGAGCCCCCCATGGGCAGCAGCGGGCAGATATGTCGAACCCTGGTCCTTACTCAGGGGTCTTCAAGACTGAGGAGGGTGGCATCCACTCTGGATGCAAAGGCCTTGGTGGCAAGAAAGCTGGCTCTCCTGGGGCAAGATGGTCTAGTTGGGGTTGGAGGGGCCTCACCATCATCTGGGGCAACTTTTCTGTAAAGACAGAGGATCTGACTGCGACACAGGCTCTCTTTCCCCCCGAAAGTAAAAAATAAGTCAGAAAAAAATTGATCTTCCCCAAAGAAAAGAACAAAACCTAATGAGATCAACGTTCCAGCAGCCAAGGGAAGATCAGACGATCTAGAACAGGGCACGGAACTTCTCAGCTCACCCCCCTCCAAGCCCCCATATCTAGAGTAGAAGTCCACTCCTGAGAACCAGCGGGGAAGGTGCCGGCAGAAATGGGGAAATGGGGGAAAGTGGAGAAAAGCAAACAATGACCCAGTTCTGATTCCACTCAAGGCCAATAAGTACGTAGGAGGAGAGCCCTGTGTGACGGAGCCTTTCCACGCTGCCCAGAGGACGCCGGCCCAGGTGGGCTCTCGCCGCCTGACCAAGCCCTGCAAGCCTCTCAGGCAACAGAAAACGCAAAGCACAGACTTCAGACTGTAGCCCCTTTGAGGGGAGAATGTCCCCACAGAAGGCTGGGAAGCGCGGGCAGAGCTACCACGCAGGGTCAGGTCAAGTTCAACATCGGCGCAGAGCCACCCAGGCCCAGGCCCGGCACAGAGGGCATGAGAGGGAACGAGAGACGGATTTTCAATAGCCCCAGCTAGCGCCTCCCCAGCCCCCATGCTTGAAGGCATGAGCTGCTGGATGAAAGGGGCCCCCACAGCCCTAACAGTGGAGGGGCTGAGGCCCTCAGCCCACCCTGCCCCCGGGTCTGAGTGCAGCCCACAAGCACACAGTGAGCTGGAAGTGGAGCCCTGCCCAGTCGGGCCTTCAGATGAAACAGCAGACCCGGCCAACACCCACCCCAGCCTACGGAGGACCCAGCCGGGCAACACTGTACACGTGCATTGTCTTAAATTGCTACATTGGGGGATGATTTGTTACATGGCACAAGGTAACTAATACACTGGTTAAGCCGTGAATTTCAAGAATAAATAACAAAATCTTCAGGTATCCAGATGGAACCAATGAGTCAGCATTCAGGATTTTTTTTTTAACTTCAGGCTAACTTTATTCTCCATGGAAAAATTCCTGCCAAAAGACAACACAGCAAATGCAAACCTACAGGGAAGGAACACGTGAGCCGAGAGTCTTAGACTCAGTT